CAAGAGCCCAAGCAGGCCTCCCCCCCTCCCCCCTCCACCCGAACAAATCAAGCCAACACGTGCCCAGGTCCTACGACGACTACAACAATGCGACCATCAACCCTGGGTGAGGAACAGCTTCAGTGCCTCTCCCCTGCGAGAGGTCGAGTGGTCAGGGCCACTCGCAAGATTGAAGCCAAGCCTCTTAGGCCCTGAGCGTCAGGAGGTGAGGACCGTTGAAACACAACAAGAAAAGCAGTCCGAACGTACAGAAAGCACGCCAACGAGAAAACCGGGTGAGAATCAGGCCCAGGATCAAAGCCGCACCGCGAGCAAGAACGCAACAGCGACAGAGGCGCAGCAAAAGATCCACTGACCTACAAGCCACACCATAAGGCAACAAAAAGAGACCCACCGAGAACGGAAGACAGAGACAACGAGAAAAGAAAGAAATGAAAACAGATAAAGGGACACAAATATGAAAGAAAGCAAAGAAGGGATAAAAGCAACAAGGCAAAAACGAACCCGGTAGGTGACAGGAGCGAAGCAACAGCTCGGATCGAAGCACATGCCACCACGGATCCAAGAAGCAGGCGCAAGAGCTCCACTTCTCCCAAAAGCTGAAGAAAAAGAAGCTCCCAGACCAACCACCCAGCTAACCCTCGCCAGCACCGTCCAGGCTCAGACAGCTATCAAGACCATAGAAGTCGAGAAGCGTCTTTCAGCCGCTGCAGCACCAACATGGCCCAGGCGCGCATCGCCGCTCAGGACCCAGACTTGCAGGTGACTGTACAGGTGCAGATGTAAAGGATTTTATATGTGCGTGTCTGTGTATGTGTGCGTGTGTGAATCTGTGTGCGCGGCGTGCGTGCAACAAGCAATCTCAAGACATCGAATCACTGTCAACAGAGAACGCAACGAATAATGAACTCGAAGGAGCCTCGACTAAAGATCCTGCTCGCCAAGTACCGAAAGTTACCCGCACGCAGCCTCCAAGAGGCCAGGACGGTAAACACCCAGCAGACCTCCGAACCCTGCATGCCCCTCCCAGGTGAAGCTCGTGTGTACCGGCGAGACTGACAAGCTGACTGCAGAAGAAAGGCATAAGTATCGACGCCACCCGCTGCGGCAGCAGGCTTAAGTCGGAAGAGCAGCTGCAACACCGCGACACGTGCCGCACGTCCCCGCCGCAGGCAGTCCGGCTGGCCGACCGAATCAGTCGCCTGATCTGGAACACACTGAGCCAAAGCAGACAGCGATGGTGGCGACCGGCGCAGGTCATGGACATGATCCAAGACGTGCTCCAGGCGCACCGCCAACCCGACAGCAGCGCATGCATGCCTCGAAGCAGAGCCGCGACCATCCGCAGGTCCAGCTCCACTTCGTCGAGAAGGAACAGCTCGCGCAGTCCCTAGGATGCCTTCGCGCAAAGTCGCAGCCACAGCAGATGTAGGAAAGCCAAGTTCGCGGCCCGCGCAGAAGGAAAAGCCGAAACACGCAACGGTCAGCTTTGGAGTTGAAGCAGCAGCGTCCACGGAAAGAATGCAAACCGCATGCGATTGATGTAGCCCCATGCCCGACTTGCTGTTTTTCTTGTTGCAGGAGAAAAGTGCCTTATCGTAGACACCCGAACCGGCCTCAGCAATGTCCCGGCTCCATGGAAACGGCTACACGCTTTCACAACAAGCAGCAAAGCTAAAGACTACTCGAGCTCAGACCGTCACGTGAGTCCTAGGCCTGCAGCAAACGGCCCCGTCACCAGGAGCCGCAGTTTCCAGATGCAAACACAACAGCCGATCCACTACAGGAACTAACAAGCTCCAGCCCCAAGCATCGCCGCTGCTGCCGCATCCAAGCATGCTGCAACCAAAGATGCTCTTCGCGGGGTGTGCCGCGTTGACAGATGACTTGCTGAACCGTGCCGCAGCGCTCTCGTGGCAGCTGGAGCCCAGCTTCGCTGCCGCGAGTCGTCGCCAACAGCATCGCACAGGTTTCATGTCAGCGAGCATGCCCCGCATTACGCTGAAACAATACCTGCAGCATCTGTACCGGCAACTCATGACTCGAGACCTTGGCGAAGCGACACCTTTGCCCTGCAGCGTCCTGATCACCGCAGCTGCGCTGCTGCAGCGACTCCAACACGCTGCCCCGGAAGTCTTCAATCCTTTCAGCCTGCACCGCCTCTGGGCCACGGCATTCACGCTAGCATACGCGTGGCTCGCAGATCTCTCCATTCACTGGCCCACAATGGCAGCGCTGACAGGCTACCAAAACGGTCTGGAGCTCGAGCGCACGACGGCCCTCTTCCTGCAGCTGATCGACTGGCGCTGCTTCGTCTCGCAAGAAACCTACCAGCTGACGTGCCTGAACATCGCTCAATCAGCCGTCCCACGACCGAGATGACCAGCCCAGGACTTCTACTATACAAACGCAAAAGACTCCGCATCTAGAGGAATTGTATCCAGTAGACCTGGTGTACATGCGCCCAGCGACTGGAATTATACATCCCACAAATAATACGCGTTGTCGAGGACTGCCCGGGCAAGAGAAGAATCAATTGCCCTCGACGACCAGGTCCCCGTATTTCTGCAGGTATAGCCTCGAGCACTAAGCCCCGCACACACAGAAATGTCCAATGTAGCCAGCATTCCCGCTACTCGCCAGGTATGCGATGAACCGGAGCCATGACCTGACGGCCGCGTGAGCCGCTGCCTCAGCAAGGATTCAGTTAACAGCAGCCAAAGTACGTTCCGGAAACCCACCCCACCCCCCTCCCCCCTTCTCCCCCAATGCAGACCTGTCGCAGGACCGGCATGACACAAGCGCGGAGCCAAGCAGCAAAGACGACAGCGACGAGCCTGTGCTCGAGCAGACAGGAAATATAAAAAGACGAGACGAGCGAGCACCGAAGCCGCACACGCTTGAAAGAGACGTGACAGTGCCACCGAAGACTGCCTGAGCACGCCTGTTCCGCAGGACATCAAAGCAGGCCTCGATCCATCCACGTACACAGTCTCGCGTAGCAGCACAGGCACATACGTACTCTAGCTGCATCATAACGGCACTCGCAAAAACGGTTCTGCATTTGTGTCATGATGTACAAACGATACAAAACATCAACGCAGACCATAGCCATGCAACATAAATTACAGGACCCAGCAGTCACCAAACGGAAGAAGACCCAACACGACACCACTCGAACGGTGCCAATCGTCCTTCGCAACAACGCCATGAAGCAGCGACGCCCTCAAATTCCAACAATAAAGACTCCAGCCGTGCCACGACCCAACGCGAACATGCTCGCCAGGAAAATCAACCTCATCCTCGCCACCCTAGCTGGCCGCAGTCGCGAAACCACGGTGCACAAGTACATCAGCCTCGCTTACTTCTCGCAGAAGGCCACAGCGACCACCCCCCCCCCCCCCCCCC